AAGAGTGCAGAAATATACTTACTAGACAGTGGCCCACTTTTCTCAGAAGCAACAGATCCAAAGAAGATTTAGACCTTCAGTCTATAAAGGGCCAAACGTCCAAGACAAAGACTGCTGTATGTATGAGGTAAGAGCAGCAGTCTGAAGGGTTAGATATTCTAGAGATCTTTCAGCAATCTTGTTTTGCTTGGAGCATTTGTAGTTCAATTTAAAAAAATAATTCAAATAATTTAAAAGGATCCAAATAAGAGTCCTGCAGATGAATAAAGGATTGAAAAGAAACAAGAGCTTAATCAGTTGCTTTAACAAAGAAAGCTGAGGAGTGATTTGCTCAGTTTATAAATGCCCAGAGTGAAAACAGCAATGCCACAGCATGCAATTCAGTTCAGCAGACAAAAGGCAAAAGATCCAGCAGCTGGATACTGAAAGATAAATCCAGGTTCAATAGAAGAGGCATATTTTAAATAGTGAATAATTACCTTTTGAACAACTTGCGTGGATTCTTCATCAGTAGCTTTCAAAGCGAGACTAGATGCTTCTTCCATATAGACTCTGCAGTTCAAACATGAATTTGAGGATGTCTCAGAAACTGTGCTCTATGGGAAAGCAGACTAAATGCTCAGCATTTCCTTCTGCCTTCATCCTGCAGGAATTTACTCTGGAAAAGTTGTGTGTCTCATGGACATACCTTAAAGCAGGAAAAAAACTTAAAAGGGCTGAGAAGTCATGTACGCTTTGGATCATGCAACACAGTTGTGGGCTACTTGGCTGTATTATACAGCTGAGTATAGTAATATATAGCTATTATTATATAGCTGAATATATATATATGATATACCCCTGCCTGAAAGGTGGCATCATAAAGACATAGCCAGAGCATAACATTGTGTAGAAAGGCCTTCAAGTCCATTTTTTGTGACAGAAACCGTAAGAAAGCAGACAATAATAGTCAGCTATACTTATCCTAGTGAGATTCTGCTTCCTTTGGGCTCTTTTGAGAGTCACAAAACGAAAGGAAAACATGATGGACAGGGCACCTGAAACAAGCAATCTCCTTTTTTGGCTTTAGTAAAATAAAGGTGAATAGGCCCAACATCATACAGCAGAGTATTCATGATGCAAAGGAAAAGCTAACCAGAAGACAGCAAGATGATAACAGAAAATTTCCTTCTCGAGTTACACCACTATCCTTTAGGAAGATTCACACAGATTCCCATTCCAGAATAAAAAGACTTCAACTGAAGGCACTCATGTTGGATCTTAGAACAGTTATATTCAAGTTCTTGCTCTGTCAAAGAATGAACTTGAACTCAATCTCCTGCATCTCAGGAGGGGCTCTCCATCCACAAGTCTTCTGGGCATTCTGGGAACAGCAGTCTAGTCCTCACTGTAAACTTATCTTTGAACAAAGGAAAAGACCATGAAGAGACAGAAACATTTTGAAAAATGCCTTTTACTGAGAAGTTGTTATACAGATTTAGTTGACAATGCCCTCTTTCAAGAGAAAGGGCATTTTTTTCACTCAGAAATATATTTTTTTTCAGTAGCCAAGATACATATATCTTCACCTCACAATGTAAAACTGCATATCTGGCTGACAGGATTTACATACAGTGTAGGAGTTTACTTTGCACAGCTGTGAGTGTGATGTACAGTCATCACACAAAGTTAACAGTTAAGAGACGTAAAAATTCTTCCAGGTTGTCATGACAGATCTATAGCAATGGTCACCCACCATAATATATTTTTAGATTTCTGTATAATCCACCTTTATTTTGTGCTTTTCCTAGAAATTCTTTAGTTCATGCATAGGTCAGTGTTGAAGCTCACATGATACTTTTCACAGAATTGTACCATAGTATCACTTTTTCATCTTCACTCTCCCACTTCTGTTGTGGAGGTGTATATAAAGCACATTTTGGGACTGAGGACTCTGCAGTGTAACAACATTAGTATAAGCCACATACTTTTCAAGTATACCCCTAATTTCACTCATATTCATAGCCTGTTTCCACAAAATTTCAGCAAAAAGGTCATGTCCTGTAGTGGAGTTCTTGGGCAGCTGTATTCAGAGGTGGCTATGGACTGAAAGGTACATAAAACATCTAGATTCCAAGTAGAGCAGTAAAAAAAAAAAAAAGCATTGTAAAGTAATTAAAATACCAACATCTATTTAAACTTGAATAGAAAAACAGGAATGTTTGACTCATCAAGCTATCCTGCCTGCTAATAGTCAACAGCAACTGAGGCCCCAGGACGCAACCTGAATGACTCCCCAGGCCCATACAGTTGTATCCAGGCTAGCTTGTTAACAGAAAGAAAAATCTGCAAGTTCAGTGCTAATATTTTTCGTCAACTCTATCAGGTCACTGACAGATCCTGATCAGAGTCACGATCTATTCTGGTCCTTATCTAGTCAAATAATTATCTCAACAGAGCTCCAACTTAACCCATTTTAAAAAATATTTCCAGTCAAGAAAGCACTTACTGTTTAAAGTTTTAACTGGGCTTCCAAGAATGAAAGCAGCTAAAAGAAACTGAACAGAAAGGTATTTGACGATATCTGTCATTAACGGCCTTCAACACCCTTAATTATAAATAATACATCAAGATTTGTAATTATCTAAGGGTATGTTCCCTAAAGGGCCCCAGATTTATAACAGCTCCACACTGGATTTTGTTAAAATACCCAGTAACAGATTTCTAACTCCAGCTGCTGGACTTCATTCATCATTTTATTGAAAATACATTTATACAAATTACATCATCTGGAAAGGCCAATCTAGCAAATTTCTCTGCGCTAGAATTCTCATATGCCAGAGAACAGAACACCCTTCAAGACCAGCCTCACTTTCCCTTTGCCTAAACAGAGCAAAGAAAAATACCACATACCCTAAATGCTTTCCAGCACTTCATCCTTAGGCCTGTTGTGTCTGATTAATGGAACTGTCTCCTACTGTTTTCTCTCCTTCCTTTGAAGGGATCAGAAGAAACACTCCTGTCTTCCAGGCACTTTTCATTAATAGTCCCAGCTACTGTCACATCTATGATGCCAAACACCATCCAGTACAGAAGCATCACAACTGGTTTCAAAACAGCCAGATCAGATTCAGCAACATCACACTGTACTAAGGTGCCTTCTGGCTTCTCTGGTCAGATTTTGGTATTGCTGCGCTTTAAGTTATGAGCTGTCTATAACCCATAATAGCAGCAGGTGTACTTCAAAACTCATGACAGAGCATAACCCACAAAACGCTTAACTGAACTCACACACTGCTCTAGTGTCCAGCAGAAAGGCAGGATAGCACAAACGGCATCGCTACTTGCTGCTGCTGCTGCCCAACTAGCGGTCCACAGCAAATCCTGTTAGGAAATTTCTCTTAGGCCTACGGCTAGCGCAAATATGACTCCTATTTCTCCTGTTTCTGGAGGCATGTAACTTCTGCTCATGAGTCTAAAAAGGTGATCAAGAGGGAAACCCTTTGCAGTTTCACTAACGCACATATTTTAGGAAGACTATAAAAACAAAGATCTTTTGCAATATTCATTCCTGGTGGCCTCAGGAGAAAATGAAAGGGCCAAGTGACAAATTAGCACTAAGAGATTCACTCTACTTCCAAGTTTCTTAAGAAACTGAAACAGATGATGGCAGTGTCAAAGCACTGAAATACTCAGCCACCTAGGCTGCAAAATTTTTGAAAGCATTTTCAAGCAGAAAGGAACACACTGACCCTGTCAACATAAGCAACCAGAAAACTTACTGTTTTTAGACTGAGTTTTCTTACACGCATTTCCTCTGAGAAAAATCCTTCAGATTGGAGGGACTGACTTGTAGTTAGGCATCTAAATATCCTAAAATAAAGTAAATGTCTGTAGAACAGCTTTTGCAACATGACCACTGTCGATCTCTACTAGTAAGGCCTAACATCTTACGCACACTGTGGTGCTAGCTATATTTCAAGGCAAGTAGGCTATGAATCATATCAACTTATGTGAAAGAGAGTATTTTTGAAAAAATTCAAATTCAGATAGTTAAACCGATGCAGTAATCTGATTGCTTAAAAAAAAAAAAGGCGGGGATAGGAGATAGAAAACCCTGTTTCTCCACAGGCTAGTATATGCCTTTTCTCTTTACCTCTCTCTTTTTTAACACCTAGGGGGAAAAAAAAAGTCTCACAAGCTAAAGAGACATAGATTAAATAATGTTTTACTTGGCTTGCCAAGTTAATCCTGGTAAATGAATGCCTTCTTGTATCATTAAAAAATTACTGTAGTCTTTTAAATAACAACAGTCAATGTTTATTCTATTAGTTACCAAAAAAAAGGAAAAAAAGAAAAAAAAATACAAAGCCACCTGCTTAGAATGCATTTGCTCGTCATTAACAGATAGTGCAAACAAAATATGGCTTTGGAAAAAAAAAAAGAAAAAAGAAAGAAAAAAAAACACTTCCAGTGTCAGTTTCATGATTTTCATACGCCCAGTTTTACAAATTTAAATCAAAAATAGACTCACAGAAACAGGATATTTCAGATGGGTCCTAAAACTCTCATCACTTTGGTCAAGGTATGCCATGAATACAGAACACCGCTTCAACACAAGCAGATATCCATTAATTCAAAAGTGCAATAAACCCAAAAGAAAGGCTCTCTGCTACAATCAAGGATGGTGAATCAGTCTGAAGGTATTACCCACTACCCTTTTTCCCTTCCTCACTCCAACTCCCTTCCCTGCATCTGCTTGCAACTGTTGATGGCCCAGTGTTGGTGTATGTTCTCCTATCCCGTTCTTAAACTGGTTATCTGAAGACAGGAATGGAAAGATGCTTGCTTGAAGAATATTGCAAAACAATTGTCTTTTCACAGCATGACTAGGAACATGATAGCAAGAGCACACCTAAGCTTCCCAAGTCCAAGGAAGCACAGAGAGTTAACATGGAGTTCAAAGTTACACTGAAGCAGGACCACCCATTCCATCTGCTATTGCAGTCCCATAGCTGACTCTGAAGACAAGTCGTTAATGCCATGCCACATTGCAAGCTAGTTTTTAGGTTTCAGACTCAGAAAATGCTCAAGTAAAAACTTGAGACAAGAAATCTGAGGCACAGGAGTAACTTGAACAACAGCTATGTACCGTTCCACTACATATTGGGATAAGTGGTATCTTCAGTGTTGCTATCAGCTTTATCTGATCCTGTCAGAGATGCTTCTAGCTCTGCCCAAGACTGTGGGGCATTATTCTTTATTGCCTCCATGAAAAGTTGCGTTTGGTGCTTTAGCCGATCCAGCTCAGCTTGAGTCACCTGGTTCTGATGAATAAGCTCCTTTGTTTTTAAGGTAATCTCCAGCAATCCTGACCTACGTAGCACAACAAGTGTATTCTGAAAGCGTCTGCACTTGCTTTGCTGTTGTAAGAGCAGTTCGGGGGTAGTACAAATCTCCTCTGGTACCAGTGGTGGGCTCCACACTGCAGACTGCATCTCAGAAGGGGTGTACTTTGTTGCCTGCAGAGTTCCAAAAGGCAAAATGGGAGCCAAACCTGGGATTTTCTGTGTGTCAGTAGAAATATGATGAAAACTGGGAAGAGCTGACACTTTTCCATTTGGCAGAGTTGAAGAACTTTGCTGGTTAGAGTCCTGAGCAGACTTAAAGCTTACCGGTAGGTGGGCAAAAGGACTAGTGGGAAAACCGATGCTCCTCGATAAGGGAGAAGTCTCCATCTTGGCTGCTTCTGTGCAGAGACGCTTATGGCAACTGGTTTCCTCACCATCCTCTAGATCTGAGGAGTGATCTCTCTTGCAGGGCTGAGGTGCTATTTTGGGATAAGACTTTAGAATAGGCAGGTAATTAGTGGAGTCACTTTTCTTCTTCCCAACAGAGTGAGGGTTAATAGGAGATGGAATTGGTGGGTGAAGAAACACTAGCTGTGGCTGAGCTGGAATTACTTCAAAGGATGGCTGGACAGTCCAAGACTGGAGATGTGATGAACTCCCCTGGAAAGCACAAATAAGAAAACAGAATTATTACAACTACATGGTACAGAGGGAGCAAAATAAACTCAATGAAAACAGATGATTTGTGTCAGTTCTTCACAGTATTTGATAACCACACTTCATTATAATGCATTTGGAACAGATTTACATCAAACTCATCTTCTCTTCCTCTGAAAATAGAATACAGCACTAGAATCAAGGCTATAATCCATTTATTATGGAACAGCAGAAACATTTAAAAGCAATTAAATTTGAATTTGTATGTGCTGATTACCGTGTATGCTTACATTCTATAATGCTGGGGTAGAATTATTACCAGATTTTGGGCAGAACACACAGAAACCCTGAAAATAACCACAACACTTAGTTCCAGAATATTTTTATTGAGTCAAAGAAATGCTGCACAGACATTTTAAGAGCAATTCAAACTCCTTCTCTTTTGAAGGACAGCAACTCTAAACCTGTAATTTCTATTCTTACAGCAAGCTTTTCAAATAGTTATTTTAAACAGATGACAGCTGTTCAGCAAGTCTTGCAGTCTTAAATACAATACACAGTTTCAATAAATTTAAAATCATGAAGTTGGAAAAAAAATGCTGAATATCAACCAGCCTAAGCAAAGCACCCTGTTGTAATCTTAGAGAAATTTAATTCCATGCCTTTGGTAACACAGGGTACAGCAACAAGCCTTAAAAGCATTGAATTTCAATGAGAGAAGAAGAAAAAAAGTTGTATTTTTCAGTGTAAGGGGACAGATCAACTTCTCAAGACGTTACCTCCTTTAATATATTATTAGGGATTGTCATCAGATCTCCCGGCTTATAATTATGCCTGCTTTTTTTCCAACCATCTCCAATGTTCTAGTAAGAGGTACTTTCTTCTTGGAAAAGATGTCTTTTTGTATATTTAAGCCATCACCACCACAGTTACACCAATATAATCATAACATACTGTCTGCTGTTTCTTTAATTCCTAAAGCTTACTACTAAGAATGGTGCTGGTAAGCTTGCTAAATGCACAGTTTTTAGCTTGCATTGAGACATCTTACTATTTCTGACTCTATACTGACTCATCTGAAATCCATCTCCATTCCTCCAGTCATCTTACAGATTCTAAGCTGGCAAATGATAAAATATCTTACCAAAGTCCATTCCCCCCAGCAAAGGGCTAAAATTCATCAAAATTAAGTATGACCAACTGATTAAGACAATGAGACTAGGAGATGAGATTCAGTTACCAACTCTGACACAGATCTGTTTCCTTTGGTTCACGGAATAGGGGTACAGAACAATCACCTGTGAAGTGTTAGTATTATTCCCCCTTTTTTTTTTTCCACAAAGGCAAAGACAAACATATTTAGAAAAATAGTATCTGGGTAAGTCAGAAGGGGAACAGAACAAATCTTGATAAATCTGTGTAAATGTGAAGTAGTTTTACATACATTATATGTTTACTTGTGTAAATAGAGAACAGAACACGCAGTCTTAGGGAGAAAACTTTGAGAGAAGAAGTTCTCATCTATTGTACATTTGCCTGATACCCAGGCACAGCAGAGCCTCAAACTAGGGCTCTTCCCATTTCATATAAAATACTTCTAGGACTTAAGCAAGCAAAACAAATTGCACAACTTAATAAAGTTTTCTAGCATCTAAGCACACAAAATGAAAATACCAGCTTTCAAAAGGAGAAATATATTCATGTTAGTTTTTTTGCCTTGGTCTCTGGTTCTATTTATAGAGCATTCTGTAGGATCTATTTTGGGCCGGTCCCTTTGAGACAAAGAGGTTTAGCAGAAGAGCAGTTATACTTTAGTAGAACTACATTTCCCGCTGTTCCATCTTGATGATTTTAGCTGCCCTTCAAAAGGGCAGGTTTTGAATATCAGAACTTCCTGTCAACAGTTACTTTATGTACTGCAACTGTAACAATTTGCTTCATTCTTTTTGAAAGGAAAATAGTAAAATACACTTTTTTTGAAGAGCATATAGCATTTTCCAATACATTATTTCTTCCCTACCTGTTTAACTAATACATTCTTCATTACAACCATAGGAGAAAGTGCAGGAAAAGAACTGCTTGAAGTCATTGGGCATGGCCAAGGCCCGTCCTCTGCGTTCCAACATAGTGTGCTTAGCACGTCCTCTGAATCCATATGCTCCATAGCACCCAGGCACTCTGAGCTTCCATCTGCCAGATGTAATAATCAATTATTAGTTATTTTATATGCAATATGCCTGCTAACAACTTTCAATTCTATAGCTCTGTTCCTGTTCAGTCAAGCTATAAAGAATAATAAAATCTGACTCTAAAATATCATTAAAATTAGTCACACTGTGACAGATGTCAAATGGCCTTTATTAAAAGGCCTCATATTTCGGGCCAGTTCTTATGCAGATGTTTGCTCCCAAGCAAACTTTCTGTCCCTTTGCTTCCAAGGGCCTGCACACTACCATGAAGACTATTTCATGATAGATGAAGTAGGATGTAGGAAAGCCAGATGTAGGAAAGAATTAGAGGATGCTGCGTCACTATAGTCTGCGCCGCAGTCATTGTGTCTTAAAATCTCTTGTCTACAAATCCAGAAAGGCAGGTATCTCTCCCAAAAGCATTTTATCTTTAAAGGCATCTTTGCATAGCTTTGTTTAATATTAAAATGGAACACTGCATCTACATTTTACTGCTGTTATAAAAATTACTTTCTAGTTTACTGGGCTCTACTGAGGTTGTATCTTAGGATAGATTGTATCCTAAGAGACATTAGACAGCATAACCCAGTAGCTCATTCATCACTGAAGTCGTATTTTATGAGGCACATTTTAAACTCCTATGCAATTCAAGATTCACATCTTTGTAACTACATAAAGTTACACTCCAAAAACTTTGAGGCTAGGATGATTTTTCAACCTGTATTGAACACAAAGAGGATCCCAGCAAATGAGATACAAGTAACAAGGGTCTAAAAAGAGACAGATTTATCAAATATTACCAACAAAAACAACGTCTGAGCAAAAAAACAGAAAGGTAACTGTTTTTTTTTTTTTTTCCTTAAACCTGAGTATCCAGAGTCCTTGTCAGACTCAGCTGCTGCCATGTTGAAGCGATGGTTTGAACTCTTCATTTCCATCACTTTGTCCAATAGTTCCTTGAAGCTCTCAATAGGCGGCTATCTTCTCTCCATGTTTCCCCAGCATCGGAGGCAGTTTTCAACACGTTTTCCATTGAGCAACTATGAAAATATTTAGACATAGAAAGTAACTTCCTCTGAATCCAAAGAAGAAAGCTTCAGTAGAATAAGATTAGAAAAAAGGTTATATTTGCCCTCATAGTAATTTGGTTATCAAAATTGGTTATCTTAAGCAATCAGTAGAATTCTATTAAACTCCCAGCTTTACATTTGCTATCTTTATCACACGTTTATCACACAGATTGCCAATAAAACAACTACCTATTGCCTGTAAAACTCTCAATGCATGTTCAATAACCTATTACCAAGTGGGTAAGAGAAGCAAAAATCTGTTGTATCAACCGATACGATACTTCATAAAACTTTCTGGGCTGATGCTCTCTGTCAGCTCAGGCTGACTTAAGCGTCCAGAAAACGTCTAGGATCCAATCTTTCAGTTCTCTGTACCATGTACAGGGATACAATATTGTATCAGACATGAATGTTGAGTTTTAAGGGCAACTTAAACACCCTCCTCCACACACTGCTTCTATCTCCACCTCCCCCCCCAAAAAAAACCACACCTATGGCATAATTCATAATTGAAGCATAAATACATTAAAGTTCTTCTATTATCTATTTTTACTATTGCTGTAAAAAAAAAAAACAATAAATCAAAGGTATTTTAGAAGTACTAAAGATATAGGTGTGGTAGAAGGACTATAATCACCTGCTTTGTCTTGTTTCTTCTGTGACTAAGCAAGCCAGAGCAAACAGCACAGGTCAGCCACTCTTTATGAATCTACCTGAAGCAGAATTGTTTCATGCTTAAAGTTACTGAGTAATTCCCAATAGCTTTACCCCGAAAGCACACTGCACAAATAATTTCTATCTCTATTAAGGATTCTATCAAACAAGCTAAAAAATATTTACAGTTAACATGGGAAATAGGAATATAATTCCTTGCATTGAACTGTCAAAAATGTAACAGCCACTTCTACTTGATTGCTCTGAAGTTCAGGACCATGGGTGAAAAAGGTAAAATGGCAGTTATCAAGCGTACACTGCTATCTGTAAATAAATCAACATGCCTTTAAGTGAAGTGGGACAGTTCTGTATTTTAAGTTTTGCATGCTGCTAGTCAATTAACTGAAGACCTTTCAGAAGTAGAAACATCTTAAGTGACTCAAAGTATGAAATATAGATAGAAAATTAACACATTAGAGACATTTCTCTATCCAAAAAGGCAAAACAAACCAAAAGGGTTTGTTTGGCAACATTTTCTTCAAAAACTAAGGCGCCCAGGTCATAACAGGCTTATAAACGTAGCTATCATAGGTAAGGATTGCATCCTCAAACCGGTCAGCTGTGCTGGGCAAACCCTATAGCATAAACACAGCTGAACCTGCAAGGCTCTGCTTTTGCTACCTTCTTTCCCTCTAGGAGAGAAAAATATCTCAAGAATACGCTCTGGTTAGGGAAATCCATATTGCCAAATGTGAAACACATACTGTACCTGCAAAGCACTCTCACCCGAGATCTGGCATTAGAAATGCCTCTTCTTCCCTTACCCTTTCAGAATAAGGATGGCTGGAAGGCTAAAACTAAAAGCTACAAAAACCAGGAAAAATGCATAATTACACTATGATCTCTCACACCATGTACCCTTCCCAACTTTAAGCTGCTTCCTAAGGTCAACTATATATTAGACAAACCTTTGAATTAGGCCAGAACTATCCTGCTCTGTCCCACTAACAGAAAAAAATGATAAAGTATTATCAAAAAATATATTTCTGATTCAGAAATTCAGTAAAGCACATACTTCCATCACAGATGAAGTTACTGACACTTAAGTGCTTCAAACAGAATGCATTTTAATTGGATAAAAAAGCACAACCCCTACTTCACCATCTCCTATCACTAACAGAGCAGTTTTGACTGAATACTCACAGTACAAACAGAGCAGCTTTAATTAAATAGTCACCGTGAGAGCAGTTTTAATTAAATAGTCATGGTGCAAACAGGCTGCTGTGGAAGACAAGGTTTAAGTCCTCCCTTAGTTAGCTATCCCTCTCCAACATATCTTTTGGAGAAAGGGGTATGCACTGATGATAATCTCTAAGGAGCAGAAACAGAACGAGGGCTAGAAACACAAGCACACAGTGTTTGTCACCTCGCCTTCTAGGTGTTGTCACCTCGCTCACCGATAACCTCGCCAGCTTTTCCCCCTTAACAAAACAGGGCGGAACAGACCGAGCCCGTTATGGGCCGCGCCTAATGGGGCGGCTCCTTTGGGCGGCGGGGCCGCCGCGCCCCGGGTAGGTGTTCGGCTCGGTTCGGTTCAGCTCGGCCCGGCCTGGCCGCCCCCCAGCTCTCGCCCGCCGCGGGCTGAGGCCTCAGGCCCGCGGGGCAGGCAGGGCCGGGACAGCG